TAAATTGTTGTGTCTCGCAAACATAGCGAAGTTGCGATACGAGGACTGATAGCATCGGTAGTAATGGTGTCTAACACGAGGAAGCAATAAGGTACTTGTGCTTAGGCTGGAGAAGCCCTGCAGATCTTTAAGTTATTAAGGAATTGCATGCCCACAAACCAACGCATCTACTGCACCTGCTTCGCAGCCGCAGCGTCTGCTCTGTATTCGTGTAGGAGCCAATTCAATCCGATCAAGTGATCTGTCGCAATATTTTTTTGAGAAGTGTCACGCTTAGGGCCTTCACTCCTCCTATAATAGTGCGCTGATAGAATATATATATAAGACGTAGGCAAATGAAAGCAGCTTATACATTTTCAAGTGGGTCGGGTCTAGTAAAACGTTGACGTCGTACCGGTGAACGTGTTCTCTGTCTTGACGTCAGCCATAAAACTCATCGGTTCTCCATCTAGTGGCACTAGCAGCTATCACTCAAGAAATCTTTCTCTTCGGTCATACCGATATTTGTATTGTTATACCGATAGTGCCCATCCAGTCGAGTTCAATCACTTTTAAAGGTTGCACGGTGCAGCAGATAGGAGGAGTGCTATGGTGCAAGCTTCCAACACCAGGAAGGACAGCGACTCGTCTTTTCGCTATGCGTGAAGGATTATGTTGAAGTTACTGTATGTCTCAATCAGCGAATACTAACATTTGTGATTAAGCTCTTGGGATCAGTCCGGAAGGATGATCTGTTTTCCGGCGAGGCGGTAAGTTCTGAAGACGAGAGACCTATTATTAGGACAGTCAGAGATTTGTTGTTAGATTAGACTCACTTTTACTTTTACTCCGCGGAACGAAAACGACAGGAAACTCCCTTCCCTTCTCGCAAGTTAGAGCAATGGGCTCATCATCCGTAGCCGTTGGCGACCTTGCGTTTGTGGGGCCCGTCCATGCCTCAACGCTAGCCGAGTTCCGCTACGTGCGGGTCAATCGGATCACCGGAGACGCCGTGTGTGCCGCGGTCGTGGGGCCCGACTCCGATGAAGACGATGAGGAGGAGATCTCAATTTCCATGGAGATGGTGGCAAGGAGGGTCGTTGACGCATCGGAGGCTAAGCTGTGACCAGGAGCGTATGTGTCTCGACTTGTAGCCTTTGTTCAACCCGATGGTGCCAAAGTCGGCCAGTGGGCGTACGGAGTGGTTAAAAGATATGACGCGCTGGTCGACAAGTCCGTCTTAAACAGTCTGTGTGGTGTCAACGTTGTTTCGGTCACGCTAACCGACCCCCCACGCATTATCAAGGTCGACCCTGTGAACTACGCGCTTCAGATTGGAGCGGGCACCTCCGACATGGTGCTTAACCCGCAAGAGCTGTTGGAGCAACAGAACACCGTATGTGTAGCCTGCCGGAAGAGGAGAGGTGCTCTACCATCCAAGGTTCAGGCAATGCTGACGGTCCCATTTCAACCCGGCGATGTTGCCGCTTTGGTCCGACCTCATGATCTTCAGGTGGTCTATGTCCGACGTCAACACTTTTTGGATGTGGCCAAGGGGTCGCCAAAAAAAAATCGTTCGGATTTGTATCGTGACCCGAAGACACCAGCTAACCCGTCGACTCCATCAAGCGACACCTCACCGACGAGTGACAGGGAATTCGCTGAGGATGTTCGTCTCCAGACAGATATTGACAGTATCAGACAGCAGAACCGAGGGCTGGGCAAGAGACAACGCGAAAGTTTCGCTGGCGACCTCGACGAGTTCGCCATGGCAGACGAAGTTAGCGACGACGACGACGACTACCGCCGAGTACGACCCCAAGTGGCGTTTCGGCCATCCGCTACTCAACATCGTGTCCATCTATCGGTCATCAACCAACGGTACAAAGGTAAGAATGCTCAGGTTATTTTAGAAATGATGCAGCACTCGGACCACGTGCTCTTCCTCGGACAACCGCCAGTCCTCCGCGGCGCCTTTGACTTCGGCTTCAATGGCGGCGTATTATCAGTGATGCATTTCCGGGAGGCAGGACTACTCGATAGGGTACGTGCAATGGAGTCATCTGCAAGTTCGACGGACTTCTCAGAAAGAAACGTGCTTCGGCCGGTCGCAGCGGCGTCAAGCAGAGGTGAACTCGTCAACGCGCTGCGCTCGTTTCACATATTCGGCTCTCAGTTCTACAATCAGTTGGTTGTCGACCTGCTTGATACTGCAACTATGTTCGTCGATCGTTACCGTGGCCTCCGCGAGACGGACGCGTTTGGATGGAAACTAATGACCTACTGGGTAGCCAAGAAGTTCCGCAAGTTCCGCAGCCATCTCGTAGCACGTGACACCAACGCCGCAGCAGCTGTGCGCTTTGAGTTTTCCCGGACGGACGAGGAGCTGATGGAGGTGAAGGACATTCGGAGTCAACACCGCCATAATGAGGCCGCCGTATCGAGAACTCGACATGGAGCGGACACAATTAAACCGGCAGATCGTCCTCGTCGATTTTCCAGTATTCCCGCACCAGTACTGGAAGCACTTCCGGTCAAAGATGGCAAAAGACTCTGCATGAAGGCCATATCGAAGGCAGGCTGCACGGGCAATGGTAACGGCGGCTGCTTTGATCCTAAGCGGTCTCACTTCAAACCAGACCAGTTGCCAGAGATCGTTAAGGCATATATCGACGACAACTACAAAGGTCTCGCACCAACGGACCAGGACAGTTGATGGCGAGGGCCAGCGGGACCACCAGAATCCAGCGTGACATCTCCTACCAAGCCGCGTGTAGGAACGGTGCCGCTGGCCAACACCATGCGAGTCCTCCAGTCGCTCTTCGAGCGTTCGTCCCGAGATATTCTTCGACACGTGGAAATGTATGCTGGTCGGTACAACCTCACGGTGCCTCTAAGCAACACGGACCCTACTTCAATTGATGCAGCCACAGTGACTTTCTTATCTGAGCTTGCACGACGGTCACGCCTAAACTTACCAAGTTTCGTTCGACTGGTTCGTGGACAAGACGCTCACGATCCGCGCCCTAATAAGGCGCTGTACGAACTTGCTGAGCCAGCCGACCCCACCTATCACGACGTTTACAGGCGTTGGAATGCCATTGTCCGAGGTGGGGTGCAACTGCTATGGACATCGACACGACCCTCAAGGTAGCCTAGACGCCCGAACAACCATCGCATCGACGCTAACACCATCGAGAAAGTCCGGCGACACATCGCAAAAGGCCAAACGGAGGGCCGATATCTCATTCTGGACAAAGCCATGCTGGAAACATGGCCTGAGGTTTTCATTAGTCCGATCGGCACAGTCGGCAAAGGTGAAGAAGACATCCGTGTCATCAATGACTACGCTTATCCGCGGGGAGCGTCCGTGATCGACTTCACTGACAGAGATAACTTCCCACGGATCAGCTACAACCCGCCTCGCGACATAGCGCGACGCATTCATGACCTACGAACCGAGCATCCTCCCGTTGAGGTTCTGCTCCTGCTCGGAGACGTCTCCGGTGCTTTTCGGCACGTACCGATCAGCGAAAACAGCGTACACATGTTCGCTTTCCTGTTTGAAGACTACGTGGTCTTTGATCTATCGTGTGGATTTGGGTGGTGTGGTTCACCAGCATTTTACTCTCTGGCAGGGTCTGTCATCAATCACTTGTACGAGCCCTCGAGACCTGAGGGTGGAGCTCCTCTGGACAGGGAACCGTTTGGAGGCAACGTTTGGTGTGATGATCACGCATGTGTGGAGAGAAATGTCGGCTCGCGCTGCAAGGATGCTGAAGTAGCCCTGCGGAGATCAATGATAACTGTACTTGGGCCGAATGCTATCAATGAGGAGAAATTTACCTCGTGGCAGACAACTGGCAAAGCGCTCAGTCTTTTGTGGGATACCGTCAACGGTACCGTATCGATACCGACTGAGAAGCTGCTGAAGGCGCAGCTCCGCGTTCACGCGCTGCTTCAGACAGCTTATGCTTCCAAATCTGATCTCAACAAGCTCCTCGGGAGTCTACGCCACGTAGCTGCGTGCTTTCCGGCTGCTCGTTCCTTCTACCAACGACTTCATGCGTCCGCTGTCGGTATGCATCCTGGAAGCAAACGCCAATTAAATGAAGACGACCGCGACGACCTGTTCTGGTTTCGTGCGGTACTTTTGAATGGGGACCGGTTCAACAAGATCCCTGTCGTTCAGTTCGCCGGTATTGCAACACCAACCGTGCACATCTTCATGGACGCGTCGGACACCGGGTTGTGTGCTCTAGAACCCACGAGACTTGAGTATATTCGGGTGAAATTCACTGACGCTCAGAAGCTTGACCTGCGTAAGGAGCCTCGTGTCAATTCGATCAACGTACGAGAACTTCAGAGTGCCGTATTGGCTGCTCTGTACTGGGGTCAATATTGGAAACAGGATGCAGAACTTGGCCCGACGTACGTCTGCTTCCACATCGACAACTCAAGTGCGGTGGCGTGGGCTAACCGTCGAAGTGCCAGAAACCCCGCTGCCCAGCTCTTGAACAGACTGCTGTCTCTGGCTGAACTACAATACCGTGTCGTTTTCACGGCGGAACATGTCCCCGGAATCGATAACATCATGGCTGACGCCGGGTCACGTGCATGATCCAGTACTGATAAACTTTGGTCGTTATGGACTAACTTATCTGCTGCATGGACCCAGGTGAACGTCTGTCATCCATTCGACGATCTCTCAACCGTGTGGGCGCTATGCTGTGCCGACAAGCCCTGGCAGGCACTACCAACACCAAGTATCAAGCAATCTGGAAGCAGTGGACCAAGTTCTCGCGCAGGATGGGATGATCGCCGTGGATTGGGAGCCCAGGAGCTGATCGTACTAACCGTCTGGGTTATTTCGCGGTGTATCTGTGGACGTATGGGTGGAACCGAGCTCGACGAGGCAATCAGTACGCGACTATCGTGTCCAAGCTCGCGAGCGTGTCGTGGTTTCACCGGCGGTTCCAAGGTTTCGAGATCACCAGGTCACCACAGCTGCGTATCCTGCTTCAAGGTATCAAGCGTTTATCCGACCCGGTGCGTAAGAAA